AAAGCTTTTGCGCTTTTAAGTTCATATTTTTTAAATGTTCCAATGAATAGTAGAGCTTTTTTTTTATTTATATTGACACAGAATGCGAAGACAGCTTTTACTTGATAAAAATCTTGATAAAATTGCTTTAAAAATAATTTATCAAGAAAACAGAATTGGGCGAATATTTGATGAATAAATTCTATGTAGAAATAAGTTTATAGTGCTTTAAAAAAGAAGTTGATTTTGTATTGGGCATACAACGTACATTTTCCGGTAGCGCGAGCACTGAAGACGGCAAAATGCAAATTTTTGAAAGTACACTTTTATAAAGCAAAGAAGTCCAAGCACTGCCTCAATTCGTAAAGTAAAGTTGTGGTAATCAGGAGGCGAATGCAAAAAAATCGGAGCAGATTTGTAGTACACGTAGGAACTTCAGCTATTTGATTTCATAATTAAAAAAAAAAAAAACCAGTGAATTTACTCCGATCGGAACAAAGTACGAATACTCTTTAGAGGCCTTCTTGACTCTCTCCTCCACATTCAACCTCCCGTCTGTTTACTATCCATAATAACTTCTAGATAGTTGGTAAACTGTTTAGGAGTTAGGAGTAATATTTTCTAGATGGTGTGGAGACTAGGGTGGAATGCCATACTTTTTCATAAAAAGTACGAAGTCCCAACTCTCTAGTCCAGTTGTGCATATCTTATAATTTCTTCACGAGACTATTGCACCTCGAGTTTAGACTTCCACCATAGCCCTTAGTCTACGAGGTAATAATAATGGTAATAGCTAGATAATCAGCATAAGCCCTTAGTCTACGAGGCCTACCTCTCATCTTGTACAAGTCGCTTAGTTTTCACCTCGTTTCTTTAAAATCGATAATTTTTCAACACGAGGTTAAAGTAAAGATTCTCCCATGCCCACAAGTGTATACATACATACGTATGCACTTTAGGGTGCATCACCAAAAATGTTGCGAGTGTCGAAAAATCGATGAAAAGAAGGTCACAACGGAAGTGACAAAAACAGAAGTGGTTTCAGAGTACATGTAAAAATAAGCAAAACTCTGCGAATCCTGTGAGGTTTTCCTTTCTTAAACATCCTTTAAATAAAGTCAAATTCCGGACCTCTACAACCAATTCATATTTAATCAGAAGCAATTCGTTGTTGGTTTTAATTTGAATTAAAATGTGATAACGGACGTGAAGATTTTTCCCCCATACAATATTTTTACTAATAATGCATATATAATTAAATTTTTTATTTAATTTTATTTCAGTTCTCTCCACAGTTTCGCGTTTTCATAAACTTTTTTCGACATCTGAATACGAAATTTAAAGTCAAAAAGTCATTTAAACCGATTTACTTGCATTTTTGGTTTACATTTTCATAGAAACACCCATGTGTTAAATAATATAATGAAAAAACCACAAAAGGTTTGCCAGTGTATACATACGAATAACCATTTCTGTAGCTGCATGTGTGCAATAATTTCATATGTAAATACAGTCCAGACTAGATAGCTTGAACTTTTGATTTTATTTTCAAATCAGCGAAAAATAGACACACTATATATATAAAATAAAAAAAAAATATGTCAATAAAAATTTAAAATGTATGTTTCAAAAATATGAAGTAAAGAATTTGTATTACGATTGGTATTACTTAATTCTAATCCGATCTAAACTTAACTTAGCCACTGTATGGATGGAAAGGTGTGCAAATCTCTTTACAATTGTTTCCAAAGTAAGCATTTTATTATCGGTTTTAAAATGGTTTACAATCAAGAAACATACATACATACGTCAAAAACACTGATTATAGAAGTGCTTAACTTTAGACATAGCTTTATTTTTAATCCAACCTTTAAATATAAAGTGAGCTTTAAAGTTAAAGGTTACTTCAGAAAACGGCCCTTAGTGTTCCAGAATTTAAAGATCCACAATACTCTTAGTCTTATTATCCAGTTTCAACTATACATATATATATATATATATATATGTACACATGTATGTACATACATTACAAGTACATGCATACAACAAACACGTACACCTTTGATAAGCGAGTTTAGTTGTTTTGTGAATTTCCCATAAAAAAAACCGCAGCATTGCTTGTATTCACACAATGTGCTGCTATTCACTTAACTAAACAATCACTTCCAACATTTTATAAAAATTTATAAATGCAACTTAAAACAAAAGCGTTTTTGTTAAGTTGCTTAAGTTCAACATTTACCATGTCTCCTGCTACAGACCCAACTGCAGCAAAGTCACCGGACTGCCAGCGCGCTACTAAACCGTTTATTACTAGTCGGGTGGTCCATTTTATTTGTGATTTTCTCAAACTCTTAAGTCTGGTAAAAATTATTATTATTTTCTATATTATATTATATTCTATTAATAAAAAATATGTATGTTGTGTTAAAATTGTGATAAAAGAGCTAACTATGATTAGTACATATAAGAACCCTTCAACTGTATTCGGATAACAGCACTGAGACCAGCGTAGGATCTGTCTAAGAATATGTTTTACATTGTGTACCAAAAAGCTTTCTTCCATAAAAATTTATATGGAGATCTCCGCAGAAACTCCGCCTGAAATATTCGTTACTCTAAGCGAACGTGTGTCTGGTTTTTTGAGTTGAGTAGGTTAGACATTCATGTCCATAGCATGGCAGATCTCTTTGCATACTGAAACAACTTGATAAAATTAGTTTCGGTGATGACCTTAAGAAACTCTACTCCCAGAAGACGTAAGGCGCAGTTTTAATTGGTAAGAGCCAACTTACATAAAAGTGTACGGTTCGCACACTAAGTAAATTTCCAGGAGGCGTTTGACCGATCTCTCTAACCTAACGAATATTGCTTAAGTACCTAAATTTACAATGCTTACTTAGTCTCACCTACATAGATCATTTTCTAAATATTTTTATTACAGTTCACTGGAGGCCTTGGCAGCTGCTGCATTTGGCTAAGTAAGCAGCAATGGTGTAGCAAAAGCTTGGCATCTTACAATATCACCGCCATTGTTGGTTTCATTTTAGTTTTCAGCGCAGCTGTTGCGCGATTTATCCAAGTTAACCGATTACAATTTCACGACATAGCATTATTCATAAAACGTACGAGGCGAGAAAAAAACGAAAATGAAGTAAGTAGATAGCTACATATTTACTAAATAAATATATATATATATATAGATATATATATATATACTTAGGTACATACTTACTTCATATGTATGTATAAAGTCACAAACAATTTTTTTTTACAGTTCAAGCAGAAGGGAGCCACAAAATTTCAGAGCAAAATAAAATCCTTTCATACGAGGATTAGATCATAGTCTGTATTCCAGGCATGAATATATATGGGGCATTCTTTGTCAACCAAACTACGCGCAACATACATATGTACAAAAACAAAACCAGGCAGCGTTGGCAAAGCCTGTGCATTCGAAAGAATAAAATCGACGCGTAGATATACATATATAAAGCGAAAGAGAAACGAATTTTTAAATATTTAATATCAAGTGGTAAACTATACTAAAACCTATACATAGAAAAAAAGTAAATAAAAATTAGTAACAAAAAGTCAAAGTAGAAAGGGTAATGTTAAAACCCCTTAATTTTAAATTGATTTATTGTATTTAATGCGATATTTATTTAATTATTATAAAAGGAGTAAAAATATGAAAAAATATTCAAATTTATCTGTGTCGTTTCAATTAAAAAGGTGGAAATTATTTTACCGTTATATTTTTAGTATTTTAATGATATATTAAAGACCAATTGGAGAATCACATTGGATTGTTGAGCACTAACTAATAGTGTTTTCACAATAAAACTTTTTCACTTCGAGTGAATTTCAAAATCTCTTAATGATGACTTCTCGCTTATTGGAAATCTGAAAGGAATGGCTTTTTAGTTTTCCCGGTTTTGTTGATGCGGAGTTAAACCTTTTGTTAAGCTTTCGTCACATTTTGTCGTAATAAACTTGAGTAAAGGCAAAAATCTGAATATTTTTAAAGTATTTTTTTTTTGCCTAGCGGAATAAAGAGTCAAACAACTCACTTCCGTCGTAGCAATTTTTCCCTATTTAGTGAATCACATAATAATAGTTTTCGGAAAAATCAAACATGTCTTTCGCCTCTCCTCTATTGTTCTTTAGCAATGAGTAGGTGTAGTTTGAGTGTCTCTAACTTACCACACAATTCGTTGATAAAGTTAGTTACACCAAACCCTAGCTTTCTCACGAGTACACCTATCGGTTGCTGTCCTGTACTGTACTGTATAGTTACGGTGACCAGATTTCTGTGGACGAAAATTGGGACCTTTGTAATGCATCGAATCCGAACATACAATTTTGTTTTTAGAATAAAAAGACATAACATCTTTTAAGACAGTTTTATTTAAAACAAAACAAAGAGAAAAAAAACAAAAATGTATACACAAAATAAATATATACGGTGACGAGAATGTCAATAGGAAAGAGACGTTTTGGCAAGTTTTGGCTACTTTTCTATGTTTACAAAATTTTTATCATTTTTTTTTAATGAAAATATAGCTTACTATCTAAAAAAACTATGTAAATCAACATTTCAATGCTTTGAATTTTAACAAATGCTGATCAAAATTTGAAACATTTTAAGGGAATAGTTTTGAGAATGCCCATTCAATTCAAAGTGCAAGTTTGAAGTAGGTTGGACTTACCCTTAATTTTTGGCAATTTTTGTGTTCGCGCATTTTCTTCCATGCAAAGTATGTCCGAGATTTTTTTTTTGTATGGAGAAAATGAGCAATACCTTCCACAAAAAAAATTTACCAAAAATCAATGGTAAGTCTAAGCTACTTAAAATTTGCACTTTGAATTGAATGGGCTACAAAACTGCATACCCGGAATGTTTCTAAGAACTAACTAAACTTTGACTTGCATTTCCTTTGTAATAACGAGCTACACTTTCATAAAATATAAAAACCATTAAATAATCAAAAGGGTAATAGCCAAAGAATGTTAAAATGTCTCTTCCCTATTTATATCTTTGCCACTGTATTTACAGCTTATATTTTTCATATCCATGCAATTTTTGAGGGAATTAGTATTTCACTAAACTCAAGTTAGGATCGTTTCATGAAAAAAAAACAGAACTTAACAAAGCACAGAATAAAATATAATCAAAGATCATATATACTATGGTATTTGGGATAACGAATGTGCTGCCACGTTTGTAAAAAAATTGGTTTTGGGGCAGAGTACAGGGAACTCTTTTTAAATTAATAAAGAAACCACTGAATCGGCACATTTATACGTCCCGGCTTTTAAAAAATATTCAGCGGGACAATTTTCTCAAAATCGGTACTGTCCCGCCGAAATCGGTACGAATGGTCACCGTATTTGTAGTACGTTTTCAATACATGCATTGTCAAGTATTTTAAAGTAATTTGGTAGAAATTTATCAATACTTGGACTCTTATTACATTCATCAAGATGATACTTAAAACTTTGATTTTTAAAGGTAATCATATAAAAATAGCCATTTTAATCACAAATTGGACTTTCGGAATTTTTTGTTAATTTGTTTATGTCACTCGCATCCAACATAAGCTGAAAATTTGTATGGATCGTACAGACACAAACAGCTTGGAATTTCTAGGGAGAACAGGCAAATTGTATAGCAAGTTAATACTTCTTAGGAAAGTTTGGAGAGAAATGCGGTTTTACAGCAGACACATCATTTATTGTCCCGACGGTGCTGCCTGTCCGCAGTTCTTTGAAGCCGTTGCCGGGATAAAGAAGTAAAGTAATCGATTCATCACATTTCATATCGATACCCAATTCTTCAGCCTCATTTTATGTGGTGACAAAAGTGAACACGGCTTGCTTAGGTATACCACCTGTTACTCGTGGGTGAATTCACGCTGAGTATAAGTATCTTCAAAAAAAAGTTAAGGGTTCATTAAAAATGCAAATTTTATCAAACATTTCAAAGTAATACAAGCATGCAAGTGATTTTTATCTTTATGGGTAACTCCGAATGTATATTCACTTGAATTAGTTACTATGGATGCTAAATGCCATTAATAGATCTCTTAGAAAATTTATAAAATATCTTGAATTTTATGTAGTAAAATATGAGCTATTCAAAACTGAATTTTATCAGCTCTAATAAAACAAAACAATACACGAAAATAATCTTGTTTATTAAAAAATAACAAAAGCAGAAAAAAGTACTTATTTTAAAGATAAATATCTTGAACAACCGAAATGATACAAACACATGAATGTGTACATATGTAAATACTTGCATACATACAAATGTTCAAGTATTTGTTTATAACAATTAAGAAACAAAAAGCCCATATGTTAAATGTTAAGTATGAGCGCAAATATGTATAGCTTTGTATATATTCTTGTATGCATACATACAAACATTTTGTATAAGAGTGCACCGAAAATGCGAGTTAAGGTTGCCAGAATATTTTTGCAAGCGAAAAGGGAAGTAACCTTGACGAAAAATATTTGAAATATGTAGGTATGCTTAGAAATAAGGACCCCAAAAATTTAAGCTGTGAATACTAAAAAAAAAGCATTTTTAACCATCCATCGGTCAAAGATATTCAATGTGGATATTAATAAAGAAATATTTTCGAAATTCCGGCTCAGTTATACATACATACCGTAACGTGAATTTTGCAGTGTGGTTGATCGTCCTCATGGCTTCAGTGCGCAGGCAATTGTCTCACCGTGGAAATGTTTGTGCTGGGCACGGTCCACAGGCAGATAAAAAAACCGAGAATTTCGTAACTTGGGGTGGTGAAACTATCAAAGTATTCATGTGGCACCCTGATTTTCGCTTTTTTTACCTTGAAATTGAGAGATTTTTTTTAGGTGAGGCTGATGAGTTCGCAATCAACCTAACAAGGATCATAAAATTAAAGATATTTAAAGAAAAAAAAAATCCACTTACATTCCTAGTTTCCACTTGGCATTGAAATGACAAAAATGACGAACAATTTTCTACTATAAACAAATGCCGTGTGGAAAAAGACTTTTTAGTGCCCAAATTTGTCAATAAAATTTTTTGATATTTAATGCCTAGTGGGAATCAGGTAATAGGGTTATTCTAGCGCCGCGGCTAGACCACTTGAAGAACCGCCAGCGAAGATGAGACGATAATTTGAATATTCCATATTTAATGGCATGAACGTAGCTTCAAAATAAAGGCATAATGCTCATATATCAAAATATTGTGGTTTTATTTAAGTATTTTTTTCTCTATCATTTTTATCTGACCATTTTGTAAACACTAGATATCGTATTTGTTGCAAAATTTCCAGCTGGCAGCACGATGGTGAGCATTCAATTCAATAAATTTAATCGACGTTTAATCAAGTGTTGTTAGCGAAGAGAGTATGAGTTTTGGGAGAACTGGGAGAGATGGAGCGATTTGAATGAGAGGCACTTAAGCGTTTTGTAATGATTGTGCTGTGCAATAGATGATAAGCAACAATAGCGGTATGCGTGAAAGTAAGCATTGTTAATAAATGTTGTACAAAGTAAGCGTATGCGTACACACATATGTATGTATGAATGTATGTATGTATGTGAGTAGATACCCTGCAGAAAAGAATTATCAATTGATAAAAAATAATTCAATTGTAGTTAGATTTTTTGCGATATTTCTAGAAAGTATGTATACAACTTATAGTTAACTACAAAATGCTAACTTGGAACTAGTTGAAAAGTAATGCAGAAGCCATGCAGACGTAATCGACAGATTGTTTTCTCTAAACAAGTTTATATTTAAATATCCTCAAACAAATTTTACTTCTGCACTTCACAAATACTTTTTCGAATTCAGTACAAATGAAATGAAGATCGTAATTTAATATTATCATTTTGGAGTTATGACTGACGGAATTCGAATATGGGACCACCTACAGTAGAATATCAATAAGTTAATTTAATTAATATGCAAACAAATATGTAATGTTAAATAAAGTAAATAATTAAAAAAAAAAATTAAAAAAATATATCGATTTTCCAATTGATATTTCATGTCCAAAAGTAGTTAGTTACAAGGTAGGTAACCATCTTTGACTATTTCGTGGCCATCGCCATAGAAATTTGGTTAGCTTTCCCGAAAAAAATATCCAGAAAATAGTGATCTTTAGTGCCTTCCTAACCAGCTTCAAGTTTGCTTATAGTTAGACACATTTCCTGCAGGGTACACTGATACACTCTACTAACTTTGTTCATATATTCTTACTTAGTTTTTATTGTTTTTTTTTTCCATTTTAGAACAATGAAATGTGCATAAGTGTTTATTAAAAAGAAACTTTCACTTGATTAAAGAATTGGAAATTTTTAGTATTCCTTTTTTTTGGATAAGCAAACGCAAATACAAAAAAAAAAACCACTTCATGTTCAACCCATTAGCAAGTGATTATTTATGTGAGCGGTGAAACAGAGCGCAATTTTTTTTTGTGTTCGATTAAAAGAACAATTCATGAACATACTTACATACATAGACAAAAGTTTATTCATGCGTATACAAAAAAAAACAAAAACAAAAAAAAAAATGTGAATGCGAGAATGTGGAAAAAACAAAGAGTCATCAGCAAAAATTGAGTGAGTAATACTACTATGCCGGTCAGTAGCCGTAGAGCGTTTCAAATGAGCAGACAAGTGGCGAGTGGCTATGCTGCTTTCATCGCGGTTGGGAAGTGCAGAAGATAAAAGTGGCACAAATTTTAGTTAATACATATATGCCAAAAAGTAAAGCGATCTCCAAAGTTGATAAGGCCCATGATTGATATTACTTAAAATACATAAAAATCAAAGCGAAAAACAAAAATTGGATGTTAAAAGTAAAATATTCTGACGTTATTACTCCATAAAGTGCATTTCAAAGTATTATAAGCAAATCGAGGAGCAGGGAGTAACGTGACCTGGCTGTAAACAACAGAAAACTATTAGCCGCCTATTGCAAGTGTTTGCGAAGTGAATTGAACTGACAACAAATTGCATTTACATACATACATACATACATAAACACGTATGTATGTACATACATATGCATATTCCTATACGCCACTAAAGCACATGCATACACAAAATGTTCTCCACATCCGGTTATGATCGCCTTTATGCCAGAAGTACTTCCGGTTTGGCAAAACTTCTCTGTATGGTAAGCGCGCAGGCCACCCGGCGCAATTGTGATTCAGCAACATACATATCTACTTTCATTTATTTTGTTGCCTTTTTTCTTCTTTTATTTAGCTGTTTGCACTGAGCGGCATTTTATGCATCTTACTCAGCTCAGCGCCACTAACCAACTTGCGCGGCCTCATCTACATGTGCGTAATGACTTTGGCTTGCCTTAGCAGTGCCATCGTTTATGTGGAGCATTTCTGTGGTATGCGCCATTGTCGGCGCCATCTTTGCAATGCATCCAAGTATGAGTTCTATTTACATGCCACACTGGCAACAACGTGTTTTCTGGCGTCGTCTGCCGCGTTGACATTGACTTTGGTGACATACTCTTTAGCAGCGGTGAGTTTACATAAAGTTGAAGCACATTTGTATAGGTCTACATACATATTTAAACAACATTTTTACCATCCACAGTTTTTCGGTTATGTCGCCTTTTGCCTGTATGCCTTGGAAGCCTGGTATAACTATAGAAGATATCGTCAACGGGATGTGAGCACACAGACTTAGTTACGAGTGTGTGTGTGTGTGTGTGAAGGTTGTTGAAGATAACAGTATTTTTGTAATCACAAAGTCCCCAATGTGAGAAAGCATACAATTTTCGGAATAAATTAAAGTTGTTGATTTTTATTAGCGCTCTTAATGCTACTGCTAAGTTAGTGTTGCTGCACTGCCGACGTACTCTGATATTCTGATATTTAAGAAATATATACATACGTATGTACATAGCTTTAGCAAATAGTAATGACTAATTTCGATGAATTTCAGTTAGTTAATTTTAAGCTGGAATCGTTTGTGAATCAGTGATTTATTAATCCAAATACTGCGTTGTTATATAAATTTTGTAGTAAAAGATGCATATGTAAATGGACTTAAACAAGTTTATACTGGGGTGCTCGATTATTTGGATTTTTTTTTCAGAAAGCCGGTTTCGAGTTATTCGAAAAATTGCAATTAGAAAAAAAAACGATTTTGATATTCAGCCGGTTCACTTTTCACTTTTGATATCCATGGTTTTACTATGGACGGATGGCAAATTTTTGGGTGATTTTTTTTCAGGCGAAACTCAGGATAAGGCAGAGTATCTAAGAAAATAAATAGTTTTTATGTAGTGAAAACTCTTTTGTTGGTAGAAGTCATGATCGAATTACAATAAAATTATTATCAGTAAAAATAGATTTTATTTGGAAAATAAGTTCAAAGTTTTTTAGATCAAAAATAAAACAATTTGGTTAAATTTATGGTCCCAGCAACATCAAAAAAGGTTTTCAAATAGCCGTCGCTCCTTGGCAGACAATGGCAAACCTCCGAGTGTAGTAGATCTGTCATAAAAAACTTTCTTTGGTGGAATGCATTGAAAACTTCGAAAAACTCAAAACATTTATTGAGAGGTCAAGATTTATATGAAATGAAAAAACAGGTTTGTTCCATAAAAAATCCAATTTATTCTATATTCGAAAAATTAAGATTTCAAAAAAAAGGTCGAAACCGGTTTGGGAAAACCGAGTCAATCGCCCTAGTTAATAACCAAAACAAAATAATTTTTTGTGCCAATTTGAAATTATATCGAAAGTTTGAGCATTACTGAAAAATAATAATATACTAAATTGCATAAATGTTGTTAATTTGTATATATCTGTCGCTTATTTTTATTGACGGATATAGTTTTATATGATAAGATGTAGTATGTACACTAGACCGTACCAGCAAAAAAAGATTCGCCGTAAACCTCTGTATCCAAAGTATTTTTGCAAGTCAATTTAGATTTTTTTTCCAAAACCTCTTATGCGGTTACAGTACCAATTAAGAAGAGAATAGTCTAAATTTTTATTTTATTTTAATAGCTAGCATCACTTAAGTGCCACGAACCGTATTTATTCGTTATGGATCCTTCTTAAGGTGGCCTCAAACAGATGCGATTGTACCGGTGTGATACGGTATCGTATTTGATGCGATAACGGTACACTGCGGTGCTTCATCTTTCTTATCCCCAATCTTTATATTTTCAATAAGTACTTCAAATCGTATAATATGGGGTAACAATTGACGAGCTGAATTATTAATTCCATTTCAGTACTCCACAATGTCCATGTCACTCATATCGTGCGATCAATTGTGCCTACTGCAACACAATTTTTGAACGCATCGTATCGCAACGGTATACCGCATCTGTCTGAGCGCCCCACAGCGGTCGCAAGTCTGAAGAAAGCTGGCCAAAAATCAAAATCATAACAGATCAATTAGAAACGGCTCACGGAGGTTTTTCAAAGTGATGGTTTTTCAAAATGGTGGATTCAATGTGGCAGACTGGATATTCAAAAAAATCACTTATGGCCCTATTATGTATGGCGACTGGTTTCTAGTTGTTGGTCTGGTAGCCATGGCTACCAGTATCGTACTTGGAGAATACTGGCAAAGAAAGTTTATGCTGATAATCGCCAATTTGCAAACGTTATATGGCTTAAATTGGCGATTTTGCAAGAGTGGCATAAACTGGACGCTGCTTTACCGAAGACATTATATCTAAGTATGAGCAAGCATATATTTCAGTTAATTAAAGTCAATGGAGCACAAATAGAGTATTAGAAGGACATGTTTGCGTGTTTTACTAATTTTATTGGGATTTCTTTTTTTTGGATTTATAGTTTGCAACAAGTAATTTTTAGATTTTTTAAATTTTTTTAAACCAGGTTATGATTATAAAAAAAATAACCACTCTATTTTAAGAGAGCTCTTATGATGCAAAAGTCATAGAAGAAAGTTTTTAACTATCTTGATTGTGGCGGCTGTTTCAAAGACTTTTGTACTGGATTTATAATTATGCAACGGAGTGTAGTATCGGAAACTATCGATGGTTCGGACTATCGATAGCTTGCCAGTCCCAACATATACAAAGAGTTAAAATACTGGAGTAGAACAGTATCCAAGCATTGTATTGGTACGTTTTGGAAGCTAGCCTTATATAAACTCAGTTATGAAATGTAAACGCGCAGGTAAAATCAGCTAAATTTTGAAATTTGTATGAAAGTCTCTACAGCGAATAGTTCAATGAGAAGTCCAAAGCAGTACCGGGGAGAACTTTTTTTGTAGCTCAAAAACCAACTCAAGAATTCTTCACAATTTCTACGAAAAGTTATTTTTTCCCATATAAAATCCACGGAAAGCTTTGAAAATAAAAAAATAGGGGTATATTTTTTTCGGAATAGAACAATCAAAGGGGGTGGCGGCATTAAAATTCCGACTTTACCTTTTCACATGCATTTTTGCAGGCATTTATCATGGTTGTTTTGGAATAGATTTACATAAATATACAAATAGAGTAATCACTGCGACAAGTAGGTCTATTGTGCCCTCAGCTCATTACAATACCTCAGCTAGCCTTGGATACACTATAAATTTCATAACAGTTCCCGGAGATAGGGAGTGTATATGCTCCTCTTTTGCTCTTAGATGTGCTATGCTTCTCTCCCTACTACACCACACTCTCCAGTAGGAGGTGCAATGACACGGGTCGCTTCACCAGACACCTAGCATTTGCTAGTTTCCTGTTAGTCAAAAAGCCTGCAATGATTCTTAGTTTCTTCCTTGGGGAGGCACATGAGTAGCCTGTAGCTTTTTGGATTGTATCCTCCTACTTAGTAAGCTTTAGTTTGGTATTTTCCTTTCTGAGCACTTCCATAAAGTACGGTTTCTAACTATTTGTACATAGTAGATGCACCGAACAGTTAAAGTTGAAGATCATGTTGAAACTACTCGGTTTAAAATTCACACATCACACGCAAGATTCAAAACTTTTCGAAAGCACTATGCAGTTTGTAAGTACTTTATTTTTGCAATAAACATTCCTACTAACAGCTCTCTTATGCCCTTCACGTTTATGACAGGGCAGCGAAAGCCTCAAAAAATGTGTATTCCACAAATAAATATCAAATCGTACGCAACATGCATATACAAATATGCCAAATATCTTTAAACAGCAGATTCAAGCAGAAAACCATAAAAAATTCTTACAAAAAATTAGTGAAGAAATATTACTTAAGAAATTATTTTTGTTGTAATCCAAGGGCAGCTGCGTCGCCATAAGAAAGTCTGCGTGCCTATGTATGTACGTCCCATGCGACTTAAAGTGATTATATGTAAACATATACAATCAGGGCTGCCAACTATCCTTAGCTATGAAGTGCCATATTGAGGATAAAAAAGTGCCAAAATGTGCCAAATAGAAAAAAAGAAGTGTCAAAAATGGTGCCATTCTTTTTAATTCTTAACATTTAGCATTAAAATTGGAAACACATTCCTAAAATAAAAGTCCAATGCCAAAATAAGATAAATCAGTTGTATACACTATAGAAATTGGAAAATTTTAGTTGAGGAAAAGAACTAGACGCAAAGGATTTTACAAAAATGTATTGAAATATTACTATTTTTGAAAAGTGCAAAATTGAAAAATTAAGTGCCAAAAATGGCACAATTTGAGCCAAGTTGGCAGCCCTGCATACAACACTTTCATAGACTCAGATCATTGTCGGTGACAGAAGAATCCGTAATGAAGAATAAGGGAAGCTTAAGAATGACCTTAGTTGGCGTCATACTGTCATAACTTTGTGTCAAAAAGTAGCTAATGAAATAATGAAATTTTGCGAATAGCCACGAAGCAAAATTACTGCGTAATGACAAAAGGCAAAAGTCACGTAAAATACCAGTACAAATAGAGACACCAGTAACAATAGCGACAAAAGAATATAAATAAATGATGCTTATTAATATATGAGCATGCGCAACAGCAATAATTGGCAATCGAAATTAATTATCTGCTAATTAGGTGCGACAGACACGAAAATGTTATCGTACATATACATACGTTTGTAGAAGTTTGTATGTATTTGATGGAAATTCTGCTTTACTGAATTGGCTTGACAGAATTTGCCCTTTGCAATTTTTTCCATAGTGCAGAAAATTTATTTTTTATTTAACAATTGTAGGATAGCCTGAATAGCATTAGCTTCTTTGTTTTCAAATTTTCAAATCAAATCAAATTTTCCCTTATCTGACTGCTTCGCTTCTAACTCAGATCTTGTTGCTTTCGGGTGAGCTTTTAATTGAAATAGCATTGCTAGCTTAAGTACGAAATTAAAAGTGAGTAAGCTGGAAAACTTTCGCTCTTCTGGGAAGCGAAACCCTTATTAGATCGGTGCGAAAAATGCGTAATTGACTGCTGCTTAATACACTGCCGGAACAGAGTATTGGCACAGCAAATTTTTCAATAATTTTTTTTTATTCTAATAATTTTTTTTGTATACAAATATGGTTCCTTCTACAACAAAAAAACATAAAAATATAATTCCTAAACTTTGTGCAAAACTCGCAAAATTTAGCAAATTTTCATGGAAATTTTCAACTTTTTAATAAAATTTTTGATTTTAGAGAATTTTTAGTATAAAGTATTTTCGAAAAAAATTGTTTGTATGGAAGAGACTGCGTCCAAAATCAACGGTAATTCCTCGCTACCTAAAACTTGTACTCTATTATAATTAAATTGATTGGGATACAAATCTGTATACTCAAAAAATTCTAAAAAATCTGATTAAAAAGTTGAAAAATTGCTGAATTTTCGCAAGCTTTGCACAAAGTTTAGGTACTATATTTTTATGTTTTTTGTTGTGGAATTAACCATATGTTTTATACAAAATTGGCGGAAAAATATTAGAATACAAATTGTTGCATATATTGTGAAAAATTTTCTGTGCCAATACTTTGTTCCGGCAGTGTATTGCTAGAAAGAGTTGACAACTTTCATTCAAATCGACCACACACTTTTGTATACGCTTCGAACGATGCATCGTGGGCAAACGGCTGCTTGCTACAATTCCACAAATTCAATTCCT